GCGATATTTGGAATACGGTACGATACACAATTATTTTTTGGCGGTTACGATACACCTACGAAATTTTACGGATTTTGTCGTTTCTGAATTTAGTCTTCTCATATCGGTTCCAACATGGCGAGTGTTATTGTCGCTCCAGCTCGGCATGCACATCCAAAGGCGTGAATTGTGTGAAATTTTAAAGTCATGCCCATTTTGGACAAAGTCAATTTCAAGTTGTAATATTGCCATTAACAGTTTGAAACATATCTTTTCTCGTTGCTTCTACTGTTACTATACATGTAAGTTTCGTGACCACAGTATCGTGATACATATCGTATCGTCAGGTTAATGTATCGTTGCAGCCCTATTGTGTATACTGCCTGTTAAACAGTGATTATATCTGTGATAGTATCTGTCTTTGTATCTGTTATCTATGATTTGTGTGATAATATCCGTTTTTTGTGAATCTATCCGTTATGATATGATTATATCTTTTGTATGTGATGATATCCGTAAAAATGATAAAACCCGTTATTTGTTATGTCCGCCATTTGTGACATTATCCGTTATTTGTAATAATATCTGTTGTCTGTAAATAAATCGTAAGTTATCATAAAGTGATGCTATCTTTACTTTTATTATGTATTCTTGTTCTAAACAAAAAATCACAAAAGCAAACAAGTTTGATATTCTAGTATATTAAGTTAACTTTCTGTGTCCACCCGATGAAGGATGAGACTAGACTCTGCAGTAAATGAGACATCATCGCTGGGGCTGTATTCAATAGCTGTGGACGTGTCCCCGGTAGGGCCGTACTCAATGACCGTGGTCAGCGGGATGGCTGACTCGTTCCTGGCTGAGAATGTTGACGTGTACCCACGAGTAGACTGTGCTAGTTTGTGGGGCGGCCGACCCGGGCTGGACGGTGGGTGTAACACGATGTCCGGTGGGGGGCGCTGGGGTAGAGGCATCAAGTGTTGTTTACTTTTACCTCCCTTTCGTCTACTTCCTGCCCCCATATACAGAGTTGTGGTGTCACTTTTTCTTTTTGATGAGAAGCACGACTGGTATTTATATAAACACTCTATATACTTCCTTTTGATTATCACTGCTAATAAAATACACAATCCTATCACAAACATTATCGTCAACACGAGCGGCGCTATATAAACAGCACTTCCGTCATCCTGTGTAGGACCGGAAGTTGTAATGAACACACAGTTGACTGGCATCTCATCATGGAAATTGTAGTAATGGCAGAACTCCGCTATACCGGAAACTGCGCAGAATGTGTATTTCGTATCGGGTTCAAGACTTCCGATCGTCAAAGGTCCAGAGTTAACGTCTGACGCCATTGTACATGCGAGGGCTGAGAAATTAGTCCAGTACAGAATTGTGAATTTTGATTCATGGTCTGTAATGTCGTGATCAGTATGGTTAGTGTCGTTTGAATGGTCTCGCGAAATTTCTAGCTTGGCTGAATTTGAAGTCAATAAATGATATTTTAACACAACGACGTACTGACATCTACTTCCGGTGTAGCGCTCACTGCACTTACACGACGTCCTAGATTCACTTCTGTTCTCCGACAGTACTTCCATACACACGGCATTGTTGGCACAATCCAGAATGTCACACGGCGAACGGATCCCGTCTGCAAAAATAAAGTAAATACAACATAACATATCCCAGTCACGTGGTGGATTGGTCTTTATTGAAGAGGTACAGACAACAGTGATACATATCGAACCTGCTATTCAGGAATAAAATGAACATTTTATTTCAGATATTCAAGGTAGGCCTAGGCTCAACCTATAATAGTATATGTTACTAAACTCATAATATATCGAATTTAACTCCTTCTATGATTTCAATGTTCTGCTAACTATAACCGGTTCATTGTTTGATATAGTTTTATGTCACAGACACAAGTAAGTATAGGAAAGACGCTGGACTTCCAAACTATTAAGCTCATCGCGTCTTGGATTCAGTTAGTTATAGATTCTATCTACATACATTGGACAAAACCTATGGTATCTCATGTTTAACTCCAGCATCCTGTATCTGATGTTAAACTCACCATTTAGCTGCTTTCCAGTAGTTAGGTCCATGGTCACAATCACAAATATGAAGGTAAGTTGCACGGCCTGTGCAATCATCTCAGGTCATTTTTGTTTCGAGTTATCTCCCCTGAAACACAAAAAAACAGTACCATAGAATAATGTGATTATTACTACTGAAACAAGAACAAACTAAAACCATCCCCAATGACGTAGTGTCGCCCTGTCCGATAAACGAAGAC